CAATGAATTCAACACCGAACGTTTACGCTATCTCAAATTTTATCGTAGGTCATTTCCACAAATTACGTCGAATACCAGAATTAACTTCAATTCCTTTAATTGTTGGTATAAGTGGACCTCAAGGGAGCGGTGAATATTTTAACTTCATGAAAAAAGTATAAAATATCCGACATGAGTATTTTAGTATTTAATGCAAATTTGTTTTATTACGATAATATACATACCAGGAAAAACGACAATAGTTAGTCAAATTGCACAACATTTAAAAGTTTTCAACAACTTATCGGTAGTCAGTTGTTCTATTGATGATTTCTATTTAACATTTAAAGAACAATGTCAGCTTGCACTTTCAAATCCTAGTAACAAACTTTTGGAATTTAGGGGAGAACCTGGGACTCATGATATCGCATTAGGGAAGGATGTTTTAAATAGATTGTGTAGAACGCATGAAATTTATTCTCAAAAAAAAGGACTATGTAATAATCTCAAAGATAGAGACGTTGATCATGATGAAAGTAATTTTGATGTGCTAATACCCTTTTATGATAAATCTTTGAATGATGGTCGAGGAGACCGTGCGGAAGTTGATAAATGGGTTAAAGTATCACCTCCATTTGAAATTATTCTTGTTGAGGGATGGTTACTTGGATTTAAACATTTATCTAAATCGCAACTTGAAAAATTTTATTTTTCATCAAAGTCAATTGCGACCGAACATGAATCCTCTTCTTTGAAACTTGTATCTCACACCCTTTCCCATCTGTCATCTATAAACGAAAATTTGCAAAATTATGAGCGAGAATGGTACAAGTTTCTCGATATATTTGTTCATCTTGATGTACAAGATATTAATTACGTATACTCATGGAGATTAGAGCAGGAAAGAAATATGAAAAATTTGGGAAAAGGGGGAATGACTGATGAGCAAGTTATAGATTTTATCGATAGATATATGCCAAGTTATGAGCTTTATTTACCAAAGTTGAGAAATCAAAATTTCTTTTGTGAAAATGATGGCGATTTAACGGATGAATTTGAGTGTAAAAATCATGAGCAATATCATGGAAGGCATTTAAAAATCATTTTGAACAGCAAAAGAGAATTAATAAATGAGATTTTAATGTAGGGAATTTATTTAGAAATATCGATATTCTGGATAATTAATTCAGGCTGACCTTCTAAGAATATGCACTATCCGCCAATTATAGCATATTTTAAAATTGGATAATTGAATTGTACCTGGTATCATTCATAGTTTTAACGATTTCAACGTAAGCTAGAATATTATTTTGGAATGCTATAAACGGATAAAATAAACCAATCTTTAAATTGAGACATTAAAAGTATGGCAAAATGTTGCGACTCAAAGTTTATTAAGAATAGTTGCTTTAACATATTTATTATTTTGTTTCTGGGCTACTAGCAGGACCATTGTCCAACATTGTTTATAGAGTTCAATATATTGAGGTGATGTATCTTCTATCGGATCTTCTACATTTATTCTGTTAAATCTGCACCAAAATTCAGTCTTAAACTAACTTGGTATAAGGGTCATTGCATAAGCAAAAAAGGGAGCAAGTATATATATTGAGATAATGTAATTATTTGGAGCGATTCTTCAAAGTCCGAAGGCAGGTTCGGCAATCTAAGCGAAAAAAATAGAATGATTTATATAAAATGCGACAAATGGATTTTGGGTTCTAAAACGACTTAAATAGGAATTAAATGTTTAAACCATATTTAATGATGAATTTTATACCAGTTAACGATATATGTGAATTGTATTCTTTCGTTTCACATACAATATTTTCAAGTTTTTCATATTCTATCGGTCCTAGCAGCATAAGTTCGTTTATATCGTAAGTAGCATTAAGAATTCTACCTTTGCACCGTAAACAGTGTAATTTTTTATATTTTGCAAAATAAAGTGTTTTATACTTTATGAAATAATGACTTTATGGTAATTGAAATAAAAAGCTTTCTTGATTGGTATTTAGTACTGTTTTGAAATAAAGGTTTTATGGTAATTTAAAATCTTCTTCGATGTTGAAATAAAAAAGCATTCTTGTTTTGTATTTTTGTCCGTTCGAATCTTCAGAGGAATAGAGTATCAACAAAAATATTACTGAAGCTACAATCACTCTAAACGAAATTCAGAGAGACAATGTGTAAAAATGATTCAAAACCTTGCATTTAGAATTTGCATTACATTTAAAAAAGATTTCGTTTAAAGAATAAAATACACCCTCTCCAAAAAGAAAAGGGGAATAAAGGAAGTAAAAGCAAAAGCAATGTGATAATGGAAGAGAGGATAAACAAGTGATGCCAGAACGATATTAGGATCGCATGGGCAGTGTCGTATGTCTTCATGTTCAAGCATCCTGCCAAAGTCCAAGCTTGTCCAAACTAATATATCCTTTTAAAATTCATGAGCGTTAAATTCTAAATATTTTCATTTAGAACACTAAACAAGTTAATTTAATTTTTTTCTTCTCATAAAGTTGTCCAAACTCTTGACCCAAACTTGATATCCTGTTTTATACAGATGTATAGGGTTGTTGAAAGTCTGATATTTTCCGTCCGAACTTTATAAATAGGGACTTTGATCAGAATTTAGTCCTTAAGCTCGTAATAATGATATGTAATTTTACTAATAATACCGAACATTGCATGAATGCTTGCCCAGCCACTCTAAAAATTTCATTGACCAATCAGATTTCAAGATCATGTGTAATGTAAGAGAAACGCGAAAAATCAAAACAAACCAAAAAAGTGTTCATATCTCAACATTTTATCTATAAACTGCTTTCTGCGCATTAACAAAAAAGTTTTCCTTGCGAAATTTAGGTATTAGAAGAGCTCTTTATAGCCTAATTTAACCGCGAAATTTTTTAATGTGGTGACGCGAGTTACATTATCTCAAAATGTTCGAGTGAAGTCTTCTAGGCAAGCCCTATAGATATATCTCTGGAAAACTTGAAACGACTTGTAAACAATTCTCTTTGTCACTTGAATGATCTACAATAAAATGGTAAGGGTAAGAATTATGAAGATGTTTAAAGCAGATTAGAAGTTATTCGGTCGGTCATTGTCCGCGTTTCTAAATAACACTACTTGGGATTAGGAGTAAAGTCGCAGACAATAGAATATCAAATAACGTATAGCATGACGTGGATAGTGACGTATTGACGTTATGCCTAAATTTTATATGACGTGAAGGTGACGTGAAAGGGTACCTTTGACCTTCTAAATGTCTGCAGCTATAGTCAGGAAAGTTGATAGCGCATATATAAGTTGTTATTGTTTCATCATGCTATAATGTATCATGCTATAAATTATGGAGGCACTTGAGAACAACTTTTATAAGCTAAGATTGGATATATTAAACATTCAAGATACTGAACTTTAAATTTTATCAATAAGTTGGTTTAAAAAGTTTTATAAACTGAACTTTTTAAACTATTTCACTAATAAGGGTTGATGAGCATAGCGAACATTCGATGTGATTGGCTAGCTTTCGTAGATCATTTGATTGATTTTTCTAAAATATGATTGGTTGATAAATTATAAAAAAAA